TGGATGAAGGTGGGAATGAAGAGGGAAAGGATGTTGGAAGAGTTTAAAGAAATAAAATTGTCATGGTTTCATTGTATACAATTAGAACAATGGGTAATAAATTGGAAAAAAAATAATAGAAGTGAAAGCCAACTCAGTCAATTCGAACAAATAATACAGAAGGGAAGGACTGTAGAAGAACACGAAAACTTGAGAGGTATAATTAGCAAAATTTATAAGATATTAATTGAAATGAAAGATGAAAAAACAAAAAGTGCACCCTTAAAGAGATTTGGGAAGAAGATTTAGGGATAAAAATAAGCGAAATAGAGTGGAAACAATTATGGGGACAAAGACATTTAAAAAATTTATCGATACGAGTTAAAGAAAATTATTACAAGTTAATATGGAAGTGGTACTTGACACCGGTAAGAATAGCATATATGAATAAAAACAATTCAATAAATTGTTGGAGAGGGTGTCAAGAACCAGGAACATATATACACATGTGGTGGCAATGTAAATATGTAAATAATTTTTGGGAGAAAGTATTTAGAGAAATAGAAACTATAATGAATATAAAATTAGGTAAAAGTCCTAGTATAGCATTACTATCACTATATAACGATAAGCAATTGAAAAAGGAGGATAAAGAAGCGATAACAAACTTACTAACTATAGCAAGACTGCTTATAGCAAGGAATTGGAAAAAAGAAATGAATATACAAATAGAGGAGTGGTATAAAGAAGCATGGAAAATAGCAATAAACGATAAATTGACATGTATATTAAAGGTTAAAAAAGGTATATGGAAACAAAGCGATTTTGATGCTGTATGGGGAAGATTTGTGGTAAATGGATTAAAAAATAAGGAAGGAAAATTACCGTCACAAGAAGAAATGAAATTTTGGACAGATGAAATGTAAGAAGGGTGGCTTGAAATGGGTGGAGGGGAGCACTGTGGTGAAAAAAGGGAAAAAAATGAGAAAAAGGGGGAGAAATGTCAGAGTAAAATAATAAAATAACATGTTAAAGAGGTTGATGTATAAAATGTAATAGTATGTAATAAAGTGATAAATTAATAAAAAATTCAAAAAAAAAAAAAGAACCAAAATCCCAGCGGAAACCAAGCACTCACTGGATCAGATCTCTTCCCAAAATTATAGAATTGCAGTTTATGGTGTGTGTGTAGCAAATTAGTCAACAATTTGAATGGAACACTCTCTATAACTGGAAAAGTAGCATTCTCAGGCCAGGTTCCCTTTGCGATAGTTCTCTACCTGCAAGGAATTTTCACTTGTGTGAGCTTTTTCTAAATGGCTGCATGAGTTCCAATTCTACTTGACTTGACTGGAAATGACCTCTTAATTAGCATTTACACTTCTTTTTGGATAAATCTCCCTGCCGACTGCCAACAACATGGCAGTCAAGGGTTTTCATGTTAAAGCATAAATACACATGCATCTCCCCACTTGTCTTCTCTGGTCTTCCCTGTGTGAGATGGTGGGAGATTTCTGCTCCAGCTGAAAGCCTCCTTAACCTCTTGTCGCTGGTGGGGCTTCCGTCAATGGTTTGAGGGGCCCAGCCACCATGCCCATTTGCTCTCATTAGCTGACCTTGGTTTCTCAGGCGAGGCCATCGTGAAGCAGCTGTCTCAGTGGTGTGGAACACTGTACACGCTGTTCCCTCAGAGCAAGAGACTCACTTTCCCATTATAGACTGGAATGTCCAAAGAAGCCAGGCTGAGACTTAATTTCAGATCATGGAGGATCGAAATCCCACCAGACCTTTTTCTTATGTTACTGGGTCCCGTCCCATCCCCCCCGCCCCCGAACAGATGGCAGTGGGCAGGGAGGGGGGCGGCAAGGATAAACTTGAAGCCGTTTATTGCTATCAGTCAAAAAGCACAATTCTTCTGGAAGTGATTTTTTTTTAAAGTATGTGTTTTCCTGAAATTGAACAAATGAAAAGTAGAACCGTTTACCTGTGACTGATTCTGACCTTGTTCTAAAATGCTCCCCCCTACATGCTCACGGGAAAGAATGCTTCCAATAAATCTACATTTGTTCAGGAACACATTATATGAACAACTGTATTATCTCCCATAAACCTGCCCAGGTTTCAGTATCTCTGGAGGAGACCCTGCTCTTATCTAACCACCTTCCCACTTGCATCTAGTGGCAACACAGGAGAAGGCCTTCTTGGTGGCTTTGGAGCTTCCTTGCTAAAAAGACTTGGACAGCTCCCTTCTACAGTTCCCAATACCTTTTGGTTCATTTTGTTTCAACAGCTCTTTTTGGAAATGACCATTTATAGGGACAGGGCGTGTGTTGCATTGTATGTATTTGTTGCTTTTCAGTAACTTTTAATTTGATTGATGATTTCATGCTAGACAGGTTACCTCTCAAGGAATTTTCTAGGTCCTCCAGGACAACTCGATGGTAACTTCGTTTCAATAGTTTGTTATTATCTAGTTTCCTGTTTCCAGGGTACGTTCAGGAATGTATCCCCTCATTTCCATAACCCATGTTATCCAGATGCACTGGACTATAAACTCCATTACCCACAGCCATGTTAACCATGCTGGCTGGGGTGATGGGACAGCGGGGCAAGAAATATGTGATGAGTCCACACAAGTTCTGGAAGAACACTGTTTGACAACTATACGGACTGCTCTATTGATTCCTCCATTTTTACAATCAGTGTGTCCTCTGCGCTGCAAGGTATAGAAGGAAGCCCTACCTAGAAAGCAACATGTTATTTGCCCATGAACATTTACACATGTTCTGGATTATGAAGGTTTTGAAAGTCCCCATTCCAGCCAGATGTGCTCAAGACAACATTCCAAATAATAAAACCAGAGAAAGTAATAAACACCTTAGAAAATCATGATGTAAACTACCCTTTAAATAAAAAACGATTTATGTAGCTCTTGCAAACAATAGCTAGAACACTTCAGCCAATGTCTTAAAAGATCCTTAACTTGCTTTTCCCAAAAACATGGCTTAGCTGGCAAGAAGCTGGCAGAGGACAGACAAGAGAGGCCTGTCCATGGTGTTTCTGTGCTGGGAGTGGAAGGGAGCTAATTCTTTCAGCAAGCTTAGGTTTCTTTTACACTATACAACAATAGGATACAAGTTAATTTTCAAAGGTTGCATCCTACAGAAACTTGGGAATTGTACTTTGGCAAGGCACCAGAGCTCCCCAGAAGAGAATTCTAAATACAGTGAGCCCCTGGTATCCACTTGGGTTTGGTTCCAGGATCTTTTGTGGAAACTAAAATCCATGGGTGCTCAAGTTCCATTATATACAATGGTGTAGTAAAATGACAATCCTTATAAAAATGACAATAAAGGCAGGCTTGTTTTTTGGAATATTTTCAAACCATGGATGGATCAATTGATCCCCGGATGCAGAATCCGTAGATATGGAGGGTGGGCTGTGTTTAGATTTGGGTTCCACCTCCAAGAGATCTCATAATGAATATGCACATTTTCCAAAATCCCCCAAAACCAAGACATTTTTTTGGTATTTCAGATAAGAGCTTCTCAACCTGTTCTTAGAAATATACTGCAGGTATCAGAAATGTTATTTTGAATTACAATTCTCTAGCCAGCCTACTGGTTAGGCAATTTACAGAGTCACAGTTCTGCCACAGTCATCCTACGAGTGTTATCTGGAAAGGTTAAGGTTACAAGGCACATAGCTCTCGCGGGGAATTTTCTCAGGGGAAGTTGGTATCATTGCCGTGTAGTGGGAAGCCAGCAGAAGCGAACGAGCAGTGCCAGTCATCAGTAGCTCATCAACTGGCGTTGTGGTGAAGGTTAGAGATGAGCGTCCTCATTCCGTTTTCCTCCAAGTGCGAAGTTTGCGCTGTAATATGCTATCTAAATGCTAAGAGCATGAACGCCGCTGTGATTCATCGTGAAATCATTTCAGTTTATGGAGAAGATGTAATGTCAAGACAGCATGAGACAAAATGGGTACAGAATATATTGTGAGACCATGAAGAAACTTTGCAGAGCCATCCAAAACAAACATCGTGGGATGCTGACAGTGGGAGTCTGTCTCCTTCATGACAATGTGTGTCCACACACCACTCATGCTGACTTCATTTGGTTGGGATGTTTTAAGCCACCCCTCTCACAGCCCTGATCTCACACCCAGTGACTATCATCTGTTCACTAAACTGAAGGAACACCTTGGTGAAAAACACTTTTCTGATGATAACAAGGTGAAAATCAAAGTGACGAAGTGGCTGAAAAAGGAGGGGGGAAACTTCTATGACACAGGCATCAAAAACTTGTTCCATGGATGACAAAATGTATCGAACTGAATGGTGATGATGTGGAAAAATAATGTCATACCTATGATACAATCCATGTAAGTTTATTAAAATATATTCATTATTTGTATTTTTAAAAAATCTTGTAACCTCACTTTCCGGATAACCCTCATAGTTTCAGATACAAGTTGGGTCTCCCTTTGCGAAATGCTGGGGACCACAGTGTTCTGTATTTCTGTTTTTCCCCCAGAATTTGGAATAATTCCATATATCTAATGAGATATTTTGGAGAGGGGACTCAAACCTAAACACAAAATTCATTTATGTTTCATGTATACCTTTGACACATAGCCTGAAGGTCATTTTATAAAGAACATTTTTAATAAGGTTGTCCCTGATACAAAGCGTATCAGGGACAACCTGAACCATCTGAGAGCAAACCATGTGGACCATTTTGGATTTGGGAGTATTTCAGATTTTTGAACTCAGGATAAGGGATGCTCAACCTGTAATATTAGATCTCCATGAGAAGAATAGTGGGCTGGGAAGGACCAAGACTATGTGAAAGGCAAAAACCGCCCCTTCTCCAGCCAATCTCTTGAAGATCATAACCAGCCTGTGATTAATTAGTTCAGGATCTGCCACTGCCCTACTTCATGACCAAATATTTTTTCAGTCAATCAAACTGTTAGTGCAGAACAGAACAAAGGGCACAGAGGGGACCCACGGCACTGACCTCCAGGTTCTGCTGCTGGCTCTGCCTCCAGATGCAAAGCATCTTCTCAGAAGAGCCGGAGGCCCCCTTGGCTTTCTCCGAGTCAAAGTCAAGGCCCATGATGGGCTCCTGATGACATGCCAGCCGACTCAGCATTTTCCCCATCGACAAATTCCACAGAACCACTGATCCATCCTCGTAGCCAGCCAGGAGGAAAGGCGAGGAACCAGTGCTGGGCTAATGGGAAACACAGCACAGCACAGATGGGTCAAGACAGGGTTTGTGTGTCAACTCCCACCAAGGAAAGACCCTGATAAGCCAAGGAAAAAAGCAGGCAACCCACACAACTCCACCTTATCTGTGATACATTCACCCTGAACATCTAAAGCAATTTATCTTCCTTGAAAACTAAAGAAAATGGCAATAACTCTTCCAACACCTTCTTATAACAACCTCATGGACACTGATTATTTCAAAATCTTTATCAGGTTATTCACAATTTAACCTTCTATTGGACATCATAAAATATTCAGGGTAATTCACAGATAGAATCAGATGCAAGGTCAAACATCTTTCTGACACTCTATCAGAACAATTTCCCCTGTAAATGATAATATGGTTCCATGCTCAGTTCCCCATTAGTTATATTTTGTTCATCCACAGCAAACAGCCGGCCCCCTCCTGATAAGAAAAGTTCAAGGCAAGTGCTACACATGGATCGTTTTCCCCCAAAGCATGGTAGACTTTTCCCTCTTCCGCCTTTCCAAAATCTACGGAACTGATTCCCAAAGAGTTAAGTGGTCTGGGACCCACTGTAACCAATTGAGAGATGTTTTGATTAATGATGTCACAGGTCAAAGAGCTTGGCACCCCGGGCAGTCACTCCATTTATTTAAGCCTATGAAATAACTCAAAGAAAGGAACGTTACTGGATTAGATGTCACACTTAAGGAAAATATTCATCATTGCACTGGCCAATTGACTAATGACCGACCCTGTGAAATGGGAAGGCTTGCCATGTGAGTGAAGACCCGAAAGCCCGGCTCAAAGCAAATTAAAAAACAAACCCAGGTTCATGCCAGTTATGGCTTTAAAAGGAAAAAACCCAGGGGGGAAAAAGACTCAAACTTTCCCCCATTCATGGAAAACCAGAAATACAGTATCTCAGAAGTGAGGTGTAATATTTGTCTTCCTTCAAAACTGACTTTGTCAAATTTTATCTACGTACTAAAAAAAGCAAACAACTACGGAATTAGAAGCAGTTATTCAGGAAAGATTTGATGCTCAAAGACAGCTTTCCAATGGGCTGAACTACAACCCATCATGTACAGCCAGTATGGCTGCTGCAGTTGTGTCCTGACATATTTGGAGGACACTAAGCTTGGGAAGAATGCTCACACAGCATCTCATATGGAGCCTCCGGTGGCGCAGTGGGTTAAACCCCTGTGCCGGCAGGACTGAAGACCAATAGGTCGCAGGTTCGAATCCAGGGAGAGGCGGATGAGCTCCCTCTATCAGCTCCAGCTCCTCGTGTGGGGACATGAGAGAAGCCTCCCACAAGGATGATGAAGACATCAAATCATCCGGGCATCCCCTGGGCAACGTCCTTGCAGACGGCCAATTCTCTCACACCAGAAGCGACTTGCAGTTTCTCAGGTCGCTCCTGACACGACAAAAAACAAACAAACAACAAAACAAAACAAAACAAAAAACCAGCATCTCATGTGTTGCTTAATACTGTGGGTGACACTCTTTGGCAGCAAATGGTATGTTTTAAGAATTCTTAGTGGCATTCCCACTGGACCAATCCAGATGAAAGACCATGATGCAAAATTATTTTTGTTCTAAGGCCCACATGCTGTTCTTAGCATAATCTGCTCTCCCCTTGAAATAGGGACATGTTACAGTCTGATGCACATCAATAAGCCCAGTGCAAGCAATACTCTTTCCCTGCCAACTGGGCAGGGCTGGCTTAATGCACACACATGCATGGGACTGTCTTCCCTACATTTTCCCATCAGGAAAGGTGTCATCTTGTGCAACAAATGATGAAAACAAACAAGAATACATGTACAAACTGGAAACGCAACCAGCACTTTATATAAACTCCTGTAATGCACATTCCTTGTGAGCTGACAGTGATTCTCTTTAGTTATTTCCTTGACAGTCTTCACAACTGACTAAAAAGTGGTCAGATACAGATACAAAGATAAAAATATTAATGGAGCAGATGCTTGCTTGAAACCAGTGGTCCTATGGAACAAAGGATCACTATGGAGGAGCCTTCCCTTTCCCTTTGAGCTTAGCTACACAGCAGTTGGAAGTAGGGCAGGAGAAATTGCTCTTTCCAATGACAATATATTGCATTCCTGGCTCAGTCTTGAGTGGGCACTTAAGACCTGTTAGCGTTACACAGCAAAGATGAAAACTGCTAGAGCTGGTTGGTTGATACAGATCGACACAGCTGCCTGAGTTCATGAACTCTATCATTATACAGCACCATTGGGGAAAAAAGTCATAATCAAGATGGTTGAATAAAAAACCCACAAGAACTGAGAAAAAAAGAATTCATTTAACAGAGTAGAATATATAAGATTAAAAGGAACAAAGGAAATAATAATTATTACTATTATTATTATTATTATTATTATTATTATTATTATTATTATCAAAGAAACAAATTCCACAAGCACTTCAAAGACACATGTAGACGGCTCCTCAGAGTTGTAAATTTGACTTTTTCGGGTTTGATTATTCACAGATTTGATTAAAATGTTCTCTCTAATGTTTTCTTATTCATGGTTTTTCTACTTTTTTGGGAGTCCCCCAGACAATGTGACTGTACAAACATGTATTGCCACAAAGTTTAAAAGCAAGTGATTTAATAGCTTTCTAAAATAAATGTTCCTATATATGACTGACATGAAACCTTTAAAACCATGAATTGCTCTTCCTCAGGGGTGTGGTAAAACCCACAAACACAGTTTCTCCCATATGCATGCTAAAGATGCAAGGTAGATAACTGTTTTGGTTTCAAACCAGACTGAAGATGAAGAAATCAAAGTACCGTGATTTCAACTAAGCCTATCCTGTTTTGGGTCCCAGGCCACAGACGCCTGGACTCAACCATCTCTGATAGTGATTTTTTTCTGAACTGGATGCTGCTCAACACACAAACACCTCCATGCTCATCTTCACAGAAAGTATTTGCAAAACATCACACACCATCTTCTTGAAAAGGAGAAAAACATGGAAAATTCCAGCAGCTACACGAAGGATGTTCCTGTTTCCATCCCAGCCTTAACAGCATAATTACTCGATTGCTTCTGACAATCAATCAAGGAAAATAAAATAAAAGAACCACCACCAAAAACACCTTCGAGTGAAAAATGATTCATGTGTTCCGTATAAATATATTTTAAAAATGAGTCACACACATGGGGAAGCGTTTCGCAATCCCAAGATCCCGCTGGCTTACCTGCCACATCTTCAGGCACATGGGCATGCCTAGCTTGGCACCGGCCTCGGGTTTCAAGGTACAGACTGCCGTCTTAGATGGGAGCTCCAGAACCCGGACCTGGCATTGAAGAAAACAAATGTGGTTGGCTGAGGGCCAGGGACAAATGCAATCCTGCTCTTCCATTCATTCAGGGTAGCCGAGAAGGCAGGAAATTCACACACCCCTCCCAAAAGAAAGTGACGTGGCAAAGGAGAAGCTTTGGGAAGATAGGCAGGCATTGCTTAGGCTAAAAGTTTGGGGGGGGGGGACTATATAGCTTCACTAGAGCTCATATGCCCAAGTTTGATTTTTTTTTTACATTTGCTTTCATGTTAATTTAGACTATTTGGACTACTTAATGTAGATTCCTGAAGCACTATATTTGCCTAGGCTTTGTGATCTTCAGAAAACACTCAGTCTGTGCCATCTCTAGCACATTTGGCGGGAACATGAAAAAAAAAAGAGAGGGGGGGGTCTTCCTAGTGGCTGCCCCTAAGCACTCTTCTAAAAGTATCTAGGCTGCTCCCTTCTTAGCTCTTTCTTTCCTTCAGCAAAACAGACCCTTTTATGTTGGCAGGTGTTTGACAACTGACTGACTTCTGAAAAGGGGCATTTTAATACACAAGTGCTGTACTTTCCACATTCATCAATTAAACTTTTAAATATGACAAATAATGCTTTGCAATTATACCATTTGGTATTTTGCATCTGTATCTTTTTAAAAGTCTTATTGTGAGCTTCCCTGTCCTAGTCTTGGAGGAAGGTGGGATACAAATCAAATAAATATATCAACGATACTATGTCAATATGTTCCCTCCCATCACTATGGAACAATACTGATCTAAAGCACTGCTTCTTAAAATGTGGATCCTAACCCCAAAAGGGGTCCCCTTCACTCAGTGTTGGGGCCACAAAAGTTTGGCAACAGTAAAATGTTTCTGAACGACACTTACACAAATCTGTTAGCAACAACATGCAGTGTTTACAGTGGACCCTGCAGCAGAAAATGCTTTAGCTGTACTCCACAAAAAGGAAAGGTAGGCTGCTTAGCAAACCTTAAAAGGCTGATTTATTATTGATAAACATTTGATTTTTATACTTATTTGATATTCCTACGTAACCAGGGTTGCGTAAAAATGTCTTGGGAGGAAGGGGGTTTCAAGTGGAAAAAGTTTAAGAAGCCCTGTGCTAGACAGACCAGGAAACAGGTTCTTTAGCTGTCACTGGACTGCAATGCCCATCATCCCTTACCATTAGCCATGCTGGCCACTGACTGATAAAGAGTTCAGGGTCAACACCTGGAGGGGCAAAGATTGCCCATACTGCAACCGCGGGTCCGACTCAACCACGGACTGCTAAAAAAACCAATAAATGGGTCCAAGAGCAAATTAAGTCTGAACCCATCCATGAGATGACTCAATTGAGACTGTTGTACTTTGGTCATATCATGATTCACTAGAAAATATGATATTGCTTGGCAGCAGGAAAAGAGGGAGACAATATTTCAGATGGATAGACTCAATCAGGGAATCCTTCATGCCTGAGTTTACAAGACCTGAACAGGGCCATGAATGATAGGGTGATTTGGAGGTCTCTCAGATATTGACTTGACACCAGTTAACAACAGGAGCCCTGTGACCATGTACTGCTGAAGTTATCTTCTTCTGATATTTCCCCCTTCCTTCCCCCCCCCCCCCCGTCCCGCTCCATCTCATTCCCTGTGTTAAGCATTTTCCATAGTACAACATTTGCATGAACTCACTCAGCACGTTAAGGCACAGAAAATGACTGGAGGGCTGCCTCCCCATCACAGCACCTCCCGTTCAAGACATCTCTTAGAAAATTAACCTGCTTTAACCCGGGGGGGGGGGGCAGGGATCCAAGGAGACCAAGCTTGTTTAAGGTCATGCACTCCGGTTGGAGCAGTTTGCGGGCTGCATCAGAAAACCCCAAGGTTGGAGTGTCTGGGAAAAGCGACGTCCACACCTACAATTTCATGCTGATTCAAAAGAAGAGCAAGGCAACTATCTGAAAAAGGCCATGGGCCGTGTCTAGCAGGAAGTACCCCGGGGCAAAGCACCACTGGAATTAATGACAACAATTTGTTGCTGTTCAGCTGAGGGAAAAAAAGGCAACACAGGGAAGATATAACAGAGGTACATATTATGCAGGCTGTGGAGAATGTAGATGGGGAAATGCTTATCTTTCCCATCCCCCAGAGCTAAATGATGGAAGATTCGGATCAGACAGAAGAAAGTGTTTCTTCACACAACAACAGAATTCTCATGACTGCAGCTTCTTCCTACAGTGTATGGCAAAACTATGCATGTCCCTTTCACAAGGAGTAAAATTGGCTGCCAACCTAGACAGCTTTGGAAGATCAGGGAAGGAATACATTTCAACAAGGGCTACATAGTGCTTCCTGCTTTACATTAGTACATTTACTCTTGTTTTGTGGATGAGACACTACTGGTGAGCTGGCTGTCAAGTTTCCTGCTTGCCCACTTGGCATCATGTCTCAAAGAGTTAGAGACCTAAGATGCTGCGTTTTATCAACTCAGACCACATTGGTTGGTCATGGTGGTGTAGTCTAGTGGTTGTCACATTTTAGTCTTCCAGACATATTGGACTTCAGTTCCCAGAAGCCCCACCAAGCCTTTCCAACAAACAGAAATTCTGGGAGGTGAAGTCCAAAATATCAGGAGGAGCAATGGTTAAGAACCATTGATGCACTGAGCAATTTTGAAGAATTTGAGCTCATTATGGGAGTAGGTACACATGCCCCATACCCAACGAGCAGCAATATATCAATACATAGGATAGTGTCTGATCAGGATTGGTGTGACTCCTATATTATATCATCATCAGCTATCACTCATGTCTGAGTATGATTGTCTTCTAAGTGTAGAGCCTTGGCAGTGGGTCTGTAGAGACCTACTCTGGATCCGCATGGTCTTTTGCAGTGGGGACATATAGATGGTAGACTATCCTGACAAGGGTTTCCTTGATGCACCTTCTTACTCTTGGTGCATTTCTCCCTTTCACTCTCTATTTGTGGCTCTTCAAAATCCACAGCACTGTTGGTCACAAATGACTTCTAGTTAGACATTCAAGGGCCAAGGCTTCCCAGTTCTCTCTCGGTCTTTACTCCACATTGTTTGAGGTTAGCTCATCTTTAAATCTTTTTTGCTGTACACCGACATACCATTTTCAGTTCTTGAGTGGAGAGTAAAGTAACTACTTTGGTAGACAGTGATTGGTCATTTGGACAATGTGGCATTCGGTCCAGCGAAGTGGATGGTGGAGGGTCATGGCTTCAGTGCTGGTTGTCTTTGCTTCTTCTTCCACAACGCTGATGTATCTCCGTCTGTCTTCCTCCCAAGAGATTTGCAGGATTTTTCAAAGGCAACGCTGATGGAATCATTCCAGAAGTTGAGAATGGCGTTCATAGGCAGTCCATGTTTTGTAGGCATACAGCAGTTGGGAGGGCAACAGCTTTAGAAACAAGCATCTTGGTGTCTCTACAAATGTCCCAATCCTCAAACACGAGAGTCAAAATCAACGCTGAAATACAACACTGTCTGAGTTCTGCAAGCACAGCATTTTTTCAGATCAAGCAGAGATGCTCGATTCAAAAAAATGCTGCACTCGCAGAGATCAGACGGTGTTGTATTTCAGTGTTGATGTTGACTTTTGCGGAGAGAAGGCTGCCAAGGTAGTGGAAATGATAGTGAAGGTAGTGGTTTTATATGTTTTAAAGGTTTTAATGTATGTATTTTATAACTCTGTTTTAAACGTTTATTGTAATTTTTGCATTGTTTTAATGGCATCGAATAGCTGCCTATGTTGTAAAGCTGCCTTGAGTCACCTTCGGGTTCGAGAAAGGTGGGGTAGAAGTATCATAAATAAATAAAGAAATCAATATTCTAGCATTACACCATTCAGTTTTATTTCTGGCATTGCAGAAATAAATGTATGATATAACTTCTGGGACATGCTGCAAACCCAGAAATGTCCAGATTTCGGACTACAGAGTTGTTTCAGAATCCGTGTTTCAGTCTGGGAGGCATGGAATCAGGCAAATTCATTAAAATAAAACCTTGGTCCTATCTGCTAGGATGGTTTCTTACTGGATAACAGGTGCTTTCTATAGTAATCTTACGTGCAAGTTTGGCTTTTTCTCTGGATGGATTGAACTGTCACAGACCCGTAGAGTTGTGAGCAATCTTTGAGAGACAGTGGGCCAAATGCTTTCTGAAAACCTTGAACTTGGATTAATTCTGGGTTGATTTATTTAGTTTTGAAGTGTTTTTTAAATTTTATTTTGATTTGATATTTTATTGGTGGGATTTTTTTTTGATGACTTGGAGAAATTGTCTCACTTTGCCTCCAGTTAATAGCATTCCTGGGAGGCTAGAAGTGGCCACAAGGAAACACGCCCTCCCACTTTTGCACATTTATAACCCTTTTAAATGCAATTCTGGCAAATTGGCAGAAGGAGAGCATGTAGCTCATAATTGGTGATTTAAATGCAATCAAGAACAAATAAATGCCTGTTCAGATCTTATTATTCACAGACTGAACCTGCTTCAAGACAAAAATTAACCTTTTTTGGGACCCGGCCAACTATAAACACATATTAAGTCTTCATGTTAATCATAAGCTTCAAAAGTGCTTTGGCTCACAGCGTTACCTGTTTGAGGATACCATATATTAAATTTATGGAATTTTAGACTGGAACATTTGGATCTAGCAAAAGAGGAGGGTTGTTACTATGAAAAAGGAAGTCCATCCTCCACAGGAAAATGCCACAACACATATGGTAGAGGAAAGTATAGCCCAGGGGTCAACCCCCCCCCCCCAATGACTAGACACACACCAACAGAAAAAAGATTTATTTATAAATACAAGACAACCTTGCAATTTTGAGATGCACTCCATTATTAGAGATGTTTATCATAGAATCATAGAATCAAAGAATCAAATAGTTGGAAGAGACCTCATGGGCCATCCAGTCCAACCCCCTGCCAAGAAGCAGGAATGTTGCATTCAAATCACCCCTGACAGATGGCCATCCAGCCTCTGCTTAAAAGCTTCCAAAGAAGGAGCCTCCACCACATCTCCGGGGCAGAGAGTTCCACTGCTGAACGGCTCTCACAGTCAGGAAGTTCTTCCTCATGTTCAGGTGGAATCTCCTCTCTTGTAGTTTGAAGCCATTGTTGCGTCCTAGTCTCCAGGGAAGCAGAAAACAAGCTTGCTCCCTCCTCCCTGTGGCTTCCTCTCACATATTTAGACATGCCTCTCATCATATCTCCTCTCAGCCTTCTCTTCTTCAGGCTAAACATGCCCAGCTCCTTAAGCCGCTCCTCATAGGGCTTGTTCTCCAGACCCTTGATCATTTTAGTCGCCCTCCTCTGGACACATTCCAGCTTGTCAATATCTCTCTTGAATTGTGGTGCCTAGAATTGGACACAATATTCCAGGTGTGGTCTAACCAAAGCAGAATAGAGGGGTAGCATTACTTCCCTAGATCTAGACACTATGCTCCTATTGATGCAGGCCAAAATCCCATTGGCTTTTTTTGCCGCCACATCACATTGTTGGCTCATGTTTAACTTGTTGTCCACGAGGACTCCAAGATCTTTTTCACACGTACTGCTCTCGAGCCAGGTGTCCCCCATTCTGTATCTTTGCATTTCATTTTTTCTGCCAAAGTGGAGTATTTTGCATTTGTCACTGTTGAACTTCATTTTGTTAGTTTTGGCCCATCTCTCTAATCTGTCAAGATCGTTTTGAATCCTGCTCCTGTCCTCTGGAGTATTGGCTCTCCCTCCCAATTTGGTGTCGTCTGCAAACTTGATGATCCTGCCTTCTAGCCCTTCATCTAAGTCATTAATAAAGATGTTGAACAGGACCGGGCCCAGGACGGAACCCTGCGGCACTCTGCTCATCACTTCTTTCCAAGATGAAGAGGAAGCATTGGTGAGCACCCTCTGGGTTTGTCCATTTAACCAATTACTGATCCACCTCACCGTAGTTTTGCCTAGTCCACATTGGACTAGTTTCCTTGCCAGAAGGTCATGGGGGAACTTGTCGAAAGCCTTACTGAAATCCAGGTATGCTACATCCATGGCAAAATATGGGGAAAAATATGACTCAGAATCAAAGAAATGAAGTAATATATTAGCACAGCAGCAGTTTGAGATTTTAAAGTTATCAAAAATTAGGTAATACATTAAAGTGAGGGAAAACATTGATGAATATGAAGATCATGACACATTACGCAACCTGTTAATGCTATTTGAAAATACATGTTTTCAAATTGCTGTCAACATTTTAAATATTTAGAGTACTTATTTTTTATTTACTTTACATCAGGCTTAGATTAATATTCCATATTTGAGGCCAGCCTTCCCCAATATGGCGGCCTCCAGATGTTTCTAATTCCAACTCCCATCAAGTGTGGCCAAAGGTCAGGAATACTGGGAGCTGCAGTCCACTAGGTTAGGAAAGAGCTGCTTTAGATCAAAGCTTCTTAAACTATTCCAGTTGCAACCTTTTCTGTCTGAGACATTTTTACACAACCTAAGGTATATAGGTGGAGCCCCCGGTGGCGCAGTGGGTTAAAGCACTGAGCTGCTGAGCTTGTTGATCGAAAGGTCGCAGGTTCGATTCCGGGGAGCGGCGTGAGCTTCCGCTGTCAGCCCTAGCCTCTGCCAACCTAGCAGTTCGAAAACATGCAAATGTGAGTAGATCAATAGGTACCGCTCCGGCGGGAAGGTAACGGCGCTCCATGCAGTCATGCCGGCCACATGACCTTAGAGGTGTCTACGGACAACACTGGCTCTTCGGCTTAGAAATGGAGATGAGCACCACACCCCAGAGTCAGACATGACTGGACTTAATGTCAGGGGACTACCTACCTACCTAAGGTATATAGGTATATAAAACAGGTATAAATACCAAACACTTACTGATAACAAATCAGCATCTGCAAGGCTTGCTCAACAGGCTGGTTTTCCTTTTTATGGAATACAGCTGAAGCATGTTCTGAGTCCACTGTAAATACTACAGATTTTGGCAAATGGGTGGCCTTCAGAAACCTGTTGCTGTTACCAGTATTTCTGTGACTCCAACATTTAGCTCAATGACCCCCATTTGGGGTTGGGACACATAGTTTAAAAAGCTCTGCTTCAAACTATTCAAAGCAGCCCTTCTCAAGCTACTTGTCTTCCAATGTATTGGCACTACAACGCCCAGACTTCTACAACCAGCAGAACACAATACGGCATAGCTGCTGGGGGATTATGGTGGTGCATTCTAGCTTGTTTGGAGCTTGGGGAAGGCTTCTGTAAATACTTGAAAACAGAGCATGCCCAATGGTGCTTCTGCACCAGGAAGAAACCAGAAGAGATCACCTACCTCCTCTAGGTCTTTCCACGATGTGGCCAGTAGCCACCTTCCCTCTGTCCCCTCCAGGAGCGAGCATTTGCAGAACCCAACGTTCTCTGTGAAAACCGAGTCCACGACAGCGTCTCTTCCTTCAGCTAACTCCCACAAGCAGATGTTTTGGTCACGGCCTTGGCTGTACCAATGTAAAACATTATTTATGATCAGGCCAAACCTTCATGTGTGAATATATGTTCCTTTTCCCTTTTTCCATTACACCTGTAGAATCTGACCAACAAGAATGTCTCTGAAATGGATTTCATGCCTCATGGTTGAAGGAAGTTCCCAACTTTGGTGCATGTTCCACCATGGAGCTGTGTCTCTCTTCTAAGAGGAAGGCAGTCAGGAGTCCTAAGTACCCAGGTTTTCTGTTCTGCAGGAGCAACACCTTAACCACAAAGCCACAAGAGCAAGAGAGGCCTTTGAAACACTCATCCTTTTGAGCCTTTTGCTTACTCTTCAACTCTAATGGATGTATGACCTAAAGACATGGATCTGAGCCAGTGATACGTGAAGGTCCAGGAAAAAAAAAAGCCACCAACAAAGCTCCTAAGATCTAGCACTTGGGGTAGCCATCACTAGACATTTCCCATCAGATTCGGCCAACATGGTCAGTAGCTGATCATGATGGAAGCTGTAATCTAATGGCCACCAGAGAGGAGTCAGGTTGAGGAAGACGAACTTGGAAATATGGTTGAAGGTTTAGGGTATTTGTTTTCACTCAGAAGGTTTAAAAATATAGGAGAAAATGATAGAGAACAGGCAACCCAAGCTATATTGTGTCCTTTCCCCTCCCAAGGGATCTGTAGCACCAAGACCAAAATGTCTTCATTCGGTTCATTGTCAAACTATAAAGTTTGCTACCACAAGTTGTATTGATGGCTTGGAATAGTATCAATGGCTATTGTCCCTATATTTCTTGCTGTATCAGGAGGTTGATAGGGAACACCTCCTGACGTCCTGCCTGGCTTTGGTGTCTTTCATATCTGGTTGGTCACTGTGGGAATAGAATGTGAAACTACAAGTGCCCCACTTGAAATCCACCATGGCTCTTCTGAAGTTCTTAATGCACAAACCCACAGGAAATCATCATTACACAGATCTGCCCTGTAAAGAAAACAGAGAGGGAAATGCTGCCACAATCAGTGGAAACCGCAGATTATATCTGCCTGGAAATGGTTTCCTTCTGATTCATCGAACAATAACATACCCTCAAACTATTCATTGGGTGATCAGGGACCCTGGGTATTTCAGGCTCCTCCTCCGGAGAGGAAAAGCAGGGGGAAATGCTTGGCAACAAAACCCTCTCAGAAACCAGGGATGTCTACAAAAAAATGGTCCAGACATAGTCCCAATACAAACTGACTCGATCTGCAACATCATGGACTCAGGTGAAAACTGGAACCTAGTTATTTGCCAGCTTTCACACGTTGGAAACTTTTCATGCTGTTCTTAGCTCAAAAAAAAGGGGGGTCAACATGTATTTAAAATCTGCATATTTTGAGAGAGGGAAAATGTGTTTTCAAAAGTATTATTTAAATGCAAATACACGTGTGGATATTGTTTTTCCATTGCTAATTATTGTGGGGAAGAGACAGGATGCACCTGATAAGTCCAGAACCAATGTTTATTCATCTACCATTTAGTATGGTGCATGTAATTAATGGTCTCATTAATTACATAATAGTAATTAATGAGTCATGGGAGATCTTGATTCAAGTTCCTCATTGGGGGGTGGGGGTGGGGGTGCATCTACACTGGAGAACTAACGCAGTTTGTCACCACTTGAACTGCCATGGCTCAATGCTACAGTATGTATGGAATCCTGGCAGTTGCTATTTTACAAGATTTTTCTCCTTCTCTGCCAAAGAGTGCTGGGGCCACACCAAACTACAAATCCCATTATTCCATAGCATGAAACCATTGGTAGAAGGGTATGATGGTTATTTGTTGTTCTAGTCTGAAAAATAGGGGAAATTGCTAAACAAGAGATTTAGATGAACGCTGGAAGCAAAGAAAATACACGCCCCTCAACACAGCATTAATTGCATTCCAAGGAGCAAAGACAACCGTAACTGCTGCATCCATGTTTTATTGACACAGTGTAATTAGAAAAACGAACAAACAGTGATAACCATCTGTAACACAATTAACATTACAAAAGAGAGATGAGCTGAGAACACAGTAAACAACAAACTGCATGCGGCACAGTAGCAGAAACATCAAACTGTGCAATCCGACATGGATGTCGAGATGGACGTAAATGTCTATCAGTACAGATGACATCTCTCTTTAGTAACGCTAATTATATTACAGATGGTTTATGTTGCTTGTTTTTTGTTTTTGTTTGAGGATGAAAATTAAATAATTGAAACTGAAAGTAGACAGAGGTCCACTCTTGATTTTGATGGAGGAAAAGGGCTCGTTTTGTCTTCAAATATTTTTTTGGCAGAGGAGTTACCCTTTCCCCACACTTGCCCTGAAGCCCAAAGGAGTCAGATTAGTAACTGGAGAAAGTAATTTGGGGTTTCTTCCAGAAGCGACATGCTTATGTGTGTGTGAACCTGTACACGCAGCCCCTAACTCCACCCCTAACTCTCGGCATAGCCCTCGGGGCCAACACATTTGTGCCCTCTTGACTTATGGGCCTGGAAAGCTAAGGAATACTATGCAAAGGTAACTGTCACCTTGAAAAGTTCCTTGTGTAGGTGCTCACATTATAAAACCGTATATGTGCAATGGAAACCCTATAATTAAGTTAACAACTCAAATTTAATGCTCGTATTCTGGGGTGTGAATTGTGGTTATGCAGACGATAACAAATCTAAATGCTAATCAGGGCTGCTACAGAAGATGTCTTTTTGCGATAAACGTGTCAAAACATCTCCAAATCAGACCAAGGCCTTGGCAAACAACTCCGGCGGAAGGCGGAGCCTTGCGTCAGTCAAAACAACAAAGCGTCCTCCGGTATCTCAAAGGCAAGTGGATTTATCATGGCAGGGGAGTTTGTGAAGTGGAGCTCAGCTGGTTTGATCTGGGAAACATCATCCTCAGCTCCCAGCTTGCATGTATGTACATGCAATACTCCACAAAGTCCTATTCTATCACCTCACTATGGTATGGAAGTGGCCCTGGGCTCCTGAGGACCAATGGAGAACAAGCTCTTGCAGTAGCACTGCTATGGCTCAGATAGCATTACGACACTGACAGATATAAACAGGTACCATACATACCTATGTGTAAATCAACATGGGGACAAAATGATTAATTTTGATATGATCCATGGATATGTCAAGGGCATTTTTCAGTGCTTAGCCATGGCCTCCATTTATCCACCCAAGCAATAAAAGAGATCAGAAGCAGTGCCACAGTAGAAAGCAGATAGGATATCTGCTACTTTCATGTTCTCCCAGGATAGACTATGCTCTTCCCTTTCGCCACTCTCCTCAGAGAAGGGGATGTTTTCCTTTTTTTAAATCAGAATTAAGATACAGCACTTACATTGACCTGTGGATAAGTATAAGACTTATACATGAGAATATAAGCACTACAACCCTGAGATCTGTATCGTTTTTCCATTTGATCCTCCTCCCCTGTCATGGGCATTATGTGTCTCTTTGGAAATCATTGGACTGCAGCTCTGACCAACCCAAGCCAATGGTAAGGAACCATGGGATTTGATCTGGAAAATCCCAATTTCAGAGTGTCTGTTAAATTGATATCAGAGACTGGAGAAACTGGGCCATTCAGATATTTTGGAGCAGAATACTCACAGAGTAAAACAACAACAACAACAACAACAACAACAACATTTTTTAAATCTCTCCCTTTGGCTTTATCATTGACCATGATAACTTGAACTTAACACAACTTTAAACCAAATAATTTCTAGCATGCGAGGCAGATTTTTGTTTATTGGAATCACATTAGTTCCACAAAATGCTAGCTGTTCCCTTTCAGAATTGTCTCACTCACCTCAGAAGTGCATTTCTTCTGTTGGGCAAAGTTTTCACACAGTACACTGATTTCCCGCTGTGTCCTTCTAGTGTTCTGTGCACTCGACGTGTCTTCAGATTCCAGATATGGATCAATCCATTGGAAGAGCTACGTAAAACAGGGTTGAGATGGGACGGAAACAAACAATTTCTTCAGCAGCTGTTTGAAACCAGGCCAAATTCTGCTGTATTTCCAAAGGCATTGTGCCCTGAAATTACCCACTTCACACAATGCATAAATGTTTTGGGGGCAAGGGAATTGTGAGACCTGCTGGCCACACAACTGCCACCACCAATTTTCCATAATCATGAGTATACGAAGTTAAAGGAGTGTAAGAAATGAATGTAGGGAGAGAAAGAGGAGCCCAATGACCCAATTCCTCATTTCTGTTTGCAATTTCTGAACTTGAAATGCACACACCTAAAACTAGGTCTGTGAATCAAAGACTGCATTACATACCTGAGCCCTTTAGGGCTGTATTTTAAGGTTGCATATGCACCAATTCTCAAAGTACTGGCTATTTTTTAAAAGCCAAAATAGCACCAGCTATGCACAAAAAGAAGGTCATCAGCCCTGGGGAATGACAAGGCTTGCTATATAGGACAGAACATAACTTAGAGTAAAAAAGAACCCCCTCTTTCAAAAGCATGCTTCATGAATGCGAAATCCATGGATTCCACGAGGAATCCCAAACAGAATTCCATGTTGGAACATTTGTTGCAAGACCCAAATTTTGTATTATTTTTAGTTTATATAAACTGTATTCCATGCACTTGTGAAACAGGAACATTTAAACAACATAATCATCCTTTCTCATTATTAACACTGAGTAATTATACACTTGTACAGTTCACATCCCAAATAGGTTATTTTATGCTTGAGACTGCACACATGGTTGGACTGTCCTTCCAGTACTCACCCAGAGAAAAGAAGGGGACATTCAAGTTCTGGATCTGAACAACAAAAGCACAGGGTGTTGACTGCATCATCTGCTCCCCGTAGAACATACACCGGATCCGGAGATGGGAGCGCCATAACGGCAGTTATGTATTGGAACCCCCTATAACAGAAAGTCAGAGGGAAGTACAAACACACCTCTCAGTCCTGAAGAGAAAAACAAGTTTCATAGAAAAACTCCAAATAGTAATGAGAACTGTTCCTTTGCCAGTAGAGATGTAGACTATGGCCCTTTTTACTTCAAAATGTGTTCAGGTTCTACCAGGGCACCACAATGAAAGAACAGATCAAATCAATGATTTGTACTCTGATGATACTAACACTATATGGTATTTCTTCAATTCTAAGACACACTTTTTCTGGACATCTCTAAAAATGGAGTCTGTCTCAGAATCATACGTGTATCTGAGGTCTTTTTGTTGGTGGCAGTGGTACTGAAATTAGGGTGTGTCTTACAATCAATGGTATCTTAGGATGGAAGAAATACAGTAGTAAAATTATACTGTAAAGTAATATACTCCACAGGTTTTTTTTTTTAAAAAAATTGAAATATCTCTCTCCTGCTTTTTTGATCTATCTATCGATCGATCTATCTATCTATCGATCTATCTATTTAAAACATTTATATTCCGCCCTTCTCACCCCGAAGGGGACTCAGGGCGGAGCACAGCATATACACGGCAAACATTCAATACCGGGACACAAATTCACATACAATACAAAAAAATAAAAAACATTTATCAAAATATTAAAATACACAATTTAAAACCGTCCTAGTCATCCACGTCAAATCTAATTGGCCTGGTCATCTTTCCTATTGCCGCTTTATTGCCCTGTCCCAAAACCTTGGTCCCACAGCCAAGTTTTTACCATCCTTCCAAACGACAGGAGGGAGGGGACCGACCTGATCTCACCAGGAAGGGGGTTCAACATGGATCCCCAAAGCAATTCATGATAATACCTGCCCAAAATAAAAAGTCAACAAAAGCCACTGCAGGAAATGCAGATTGATCAAAGCCCTACACTCTCCTGAATTTCAGAACATATCCGAGATCCCAGGCACTTGTTGTCCTTTCAGAAAAATGATAAAGGGGGGAAATCTTACAATGCTGGTGCCACGTTTAAAAGAATTTTCCCACTATGCCATACTTCACAACTTTGAGGAAAGAGGTATAGAGAGCTGGATTTTAGAGGATGATCAAAGAGTGAAGATGAGAGATCATAAGATCATAAAAAGAGCTAGGTGTAGGTACAAATAAGGCATTGCCTCCTCACAAGAACTGTATTTTTGGAAGAGGCCTTGGGTCCCAATCTGGGGGAAAGGTGGGATACAAATTAAATTATAGATTATGTATAGTGACAAGTAAAACCATCTCTTTCATGGTTGTATAGAAGAGGGAATTTCAGCGGATGTTGCCATTCACCTGGTTGCTTAATGAACTGCACTTGTTGACATGTAACCATTGAAAGTACAGGAATCATTCCAACTTCTATTCTGGCAATCCCAACAGTGTGTCACCATTTGAAAGCAAAATCTAGCACATGCCCTACCACATATTTTAAACATAGATCAACTAGATCCTTGCATGGATAATTCTTCATAGATTGCTTTGCAGAAAAACACCCCAACTTAGTCCTTACGGTTTTTCCAGATGTCCATGCATGCCAGAATTTAATTTGGAATGTTTTACCCAGCTCCAGCAGTGGATAGGATTATATTTATTGAGTGTTCTCAAGGATTTTCACAGATATTGTTTTCCCTGCAGTATCGTGCATTTTATACCCAGGGCTCGTTGCCCAGCTTTCCTAAAAAGGGGGAAAGATATCATAATGATGAGTGTCAATCATGGCAAATCTATCAAAGGATTTGTTTCCATATTTGGAAAAGCACAGATGTTTTCAGACACCAAGACTTGCAGATCTTTCAGTCGGGTGCTGTCGCGTAAACTAAAACGATTTTCAGTCCAACTGTAACATGTCTGCAAAGATGTAAATCCCATTGATTACCCTGGAATACATGTGAAATAAGTATGCTTAGGATAATGGCATTCGTATCCCATGGGAAATTAAGGTAATTTTCATCCCAAATCCCTGTTTAAAGTTTGCTTTTTTGTTTTCACTTTCTTTTAGATTTCTCAGTTTCACAGCCACCGTGAATTGTAGAGATATCAATTTCGATCTTGGGTTTTATGATAATGGCATAGAATCTCCAAATTCCAGCTTGAAGCTCATTGCAAAAGAGGTTTTACAAGCTACCCTTAATGTTCACACGCAATAAGTTAAGATGACAAATCCAACGTTCTTTGATGTAAACCACTTGGGCTGTCAGTTTTTATGATGTCACTCATCAATCCTGATGGATTACACTTTTTTTACAAGGCTGCTCCCTTGGTTGATTCAAGTCCTTTGGTGTCTGCAGTGTATATCCTTGTTGGATTGCTGCTGTTACCAAAATATCATGTTTGGGTGGTTTTGTAAAGTCCTGTCACTTCCCCAACTATGCCAATGTGCTGGCAAACCTCCACAGAGTGGTGGCACGTGGGTTGTCCTCCTGTGGTTTCAAAGATGACTCCAGTTCTGTGGAAACATGCCACAAGAAGTTTAAGCAAAGGAACAATTCTGAAGAAATATGCCCGAAAAGGGAGGGAAGGAGGGAGGGAGACAACAAGTGAAGCAGAGTCACCCCAGAGGCCATCTGGAAAGACGAGGCAGGATTTAATAGAGTTTTCTCCTTCCTAATTACAAACATGCAAGGCTTTTGCTGACAGAAGTCGAGTCTGTGTGTGTGAACCTGGGGAGGGTTGTTATTAAGCTGGCATGAAACCCATGCTCCCCATACATGTCTTTACAAGGGCACCATCACCAAAGGCTTGCAGACGTTCAAGCACAGGGGGCGGTAGGAATTGCTCCCTGCAATCCTGCCCCAAATCCATTTGTGCACAAAGGTGAATACATGTTGCTTTGCCAAATGGTGCTTACGAAGGCAATAAAACCCAAGGTGGATTGTGAAACACGTTTTTTGTTCATTGTTTGGGTGCTCTCATCTTCCCATCCTTTGGAAGTCAACCTCTGCCCCATAACGTACCATTTCTACTTCATCAAAAGGGTAAACACAAAAAAACAGACTTGGAAGAGTAACAAGGGTGCCTCATGTGGCAGCTGCCAAGCCTGCTCCTGCCAAGCCCCCAGTCATTCTCCTTCTTTGGCCCTCTAAAGCCACGGTTCCCAAAGCTTTTGGGTCATGGAACCCTTCAAAATACTTCCCTTTTCCCGCCGAACCCTGATACTGTTCCTGATTTTCCCGCAGAACCCTATCTCTAAGCCTTGGGAAACCACAAAGTCCTTCCTTCTTTCATCTATTCCTGTTTCCCGAGTGTTGTGTACAATGTAGTAGGTTTGGAAATAAAGCAAACATTTGAAATACAACCACAGGAACAAGAAAATATTGAAAATAATCACAAACATTTATTTTGATACTGAATAATATTGGATTCACACCTAAAGTGATGAATGAAATTGTTTCATTTTTGCACTTAAAATAGTTTTGAAATTGTCTGACAGCTGGGTATGTAAAATCTGGGACAGAATCCAACTTACTGCTAATTTTTTTTTGATCTAAGCAAAAATTAAAAGTTTTGATTTGCATCAATGGATGGACATGAAGAGGAGCTTTTCCGACTACTGACAGCTATTTGTCAATTCTATCCAAAAGTCGTTCAGTGGCACAAATTCAAATTTCATTTTTGAAGCAGAGGTACATTGACTTTCAATAAGATCTTCATCCTTTACATTTTTTAAAAGATTTCTCACAGAACTCCTACAATGCTTTGTGGGACCCTAGGGTTCTGCGGGACACAGTTTGAGAAGCATTGCTCTAAAGCAGTGGTTCCCAACCTTTTTATTGATCTATTTTATTTATTTACCTCATTTGTATACCGCTTTTCTCACCCCAGGGAACGGGGGGACGGGATGGAAACTCAAACATATTCATGGAAAAATTTAATGCCTCACAAATATATGAAAACCTAACATAAAACAACAATAACATATAACTATTAATTAAATCATAAAACGTAACTTTTTTTTGACCAGGGACCACTAGACCAAGGACCACTCTCCAACATTAGTACCAAAAGAGTTACAAATCACTTTTTGGTCAACTTTAGATTTGGTTTGGTTATCTGGGGTGCTGAGTCAGAAAACTGCATTGGATAGATCACATCAGCTGTAGTTTCTGAAACAGAACATATGCCATCCAGTAGTCGCCATTCGCTTGCCCACATAAGAGGGTTTCACAAAATCAGTCACTCTCATTGCAACAGTGTAGTAATGGTGAGGCTGTGGACCATAATTTAGTTCTTGCAGACCACTGGTGGTCCAAGGACCACAGGCTGGGAATCACTACTCTAAAGCTTGCCAACTATGGACCCTCTTTATTTATTTATTTATTTATTTATTTATTTATTTATTTATTTATTTATTTATTTCGGGTACTTTTACCCCGCCCTTCTCAACCCCCGAGGGGGGACTCAGGGCGGCTTACAAAAAAGGCACAATTCGATGCCTACATAGAATACATATACATATAAAAACAGCAATCAACAATTTTCACAATTAAAACAGTCAGTATATAACACAATCAATAAAAATAAAACACAATAAATAAAAACTAATCTCAAGCTCAGCGTTCTTTAGTACTGAAATAATATGCAACTACCAGTTTTGTTTTAGACAGAGAACGAACCAGTACAGAGAATGCCCATTGCTTCTGGCAGTTTTTTTTTTTCATGTCAGAAGCGACTTGAGCAACGTTTTTTTACCATCCTGTGGGAGGGTTCTGTCATGTCCCCGCATGAGAAGCTAGAGCTCGACAGACGGGAGCTTACCCTGCTCCCTGGATTCAAACTGCCAACCTGTTGGTCGACCAGTCCTGCCGGCACAAGGGTTATCCCACTGTGCCACTGTGTTCTGGCAGTAACATTTCTGTATTTGTTGAAACACAAACTGCCCAGTAAAACATCACTTCTCTAGAAGAGTTTGGCAAAGCTGCTTCTCTGCACTGCAATTTCCAGAATCTGCTAGGAACCACAGTCCAAAAAAGCA